CCACACTCTATAGAAAGATAAAAGAAAAAAAAACACAGAAAACCCAAAGAATATATATATATATATATATATATATATATATATGTGCTCTTCCGATCTTATATATATATCATATATGCTGCACAGGCAGACAACAGTAGACTCCAATGTAAAAATAAGAAGTCTATTATAATCCAAATCAAATCAAAAGATGAAATGGCAAAGAAACATACAAAGTACACGAAGGAGGGAGACAACAGAGGAACAGAACATGACAGACCGGGAAGCACAATGCACAGATAAACGAGAAACACAGCCGGTGATTTTATAGTGAGACTAATGAGACAACATGAGGACACCTGGGGGGATTAGCATCGGAGACAGGAGCTGAACAACAAGGGAGAAAAACACTGGGGAGTGCAGGAAACACAAGGATTACAGAAACGATAGAACAAAACACAGATTGTTTATTTCCATTTTAAGAAAAAACAAGAACAAGCACTAAAGTTCTCACTGAATTGCAAGAAGCAAATAAAACACTTAAAAATGAAATAAATTGTTTAACAGTACAAGTCCTCCTATGATGAACTTAAAAGGATGTATTACTTTATTTGATGTTAAAATCACTTTTGTTCTGTAATGTGAAAGTAATGGCAAACTAATACTTGTCTGTTACTGCTTTAATTTAAGAAAGTAAGGTTAAATCACTTAAAATACTCTCAATTTAATGCAGTAAAAACATCACAAGTATTTATGGCGCAAGTTATTAACATATAGTTTAGTGTAATTTGAGGAAGACCTAATTGTATTTAAACAAAAAGGCATATGGCCAATTGTACTTTACATTCTGAGTTATTTATTTTCAAAAAGCTTCTTAACAAGCAAACAAATAAAGTGTCAGAGTTTTGTTTTGCAAAAAATTTAGTGTTGGTTTTTTACTCCAAATCTCATTAAAAACTCTCCTCAGCTAAAGCTGTAGCTGTCTCTCATTTCAAACAGTTCACAGCATGAGCTGCAGCTGAAAGCTTGGTGAACACACAATGATTCAAATGTAAGAAAGTTTAAAGGAAACACTGCAACTTACTAAAACGTGTGCTTGTTCTGGTGGAGAAATCTTTTGCCTCGCAAACAGTCGTCTGGTCTTCGCTTGGCTCCAAACTAGAATTAGGAAAATGATAGATGAATAAGTTGGTGTAGTTGGTTTTATTATTATTATTATTATTGTTGTTGTTGTTGATATTGTTTTTTCAGCTTCAGTTATATCTATAAAATAGATAAGTAGCCCTAGCAAAAAAAAGAAAACAGTTTTTCTCTAACTTGTGTAAATAACTTTACAACTGCTTACAACAAAGTCCATGCTCGTTAATCCAGGTATACAATCCAACATTTTTCAGTCAGATCATCTGGACAGTTTATTTTTTTGTGCTGAAACGTTTCGTATTATACCTGGATTATTGAGCATGGACTTTGTTGTTTTCAACCAGTTTGACAAGACTGTCAACAAGGAAGAGGGCCAGCAATGGAGGAGGGGCATACCAAAGAGACCATCTTATCACAAACAGAACTGGTTTGTTCCTCTTTGGAGTAAGCTGTTGGGGGAAGAATCAGTTTTGTTGTGTGTTTCCTTGACTGATGAAGCCTTCCGGATCGAAGGTGAAATGTTTCAGCACAAAAAAAATAAACTGTCCAGATGACATCCTGATGCATGCTCAGATGACCTGACTGAAAAATGTTGGATTTACAACTGCTTGTTAGTTTTCTTCTGTCCAGTCAACCCTCAGTCCTGAAATACAACCTGGCAGCTCCTGTGGATCTGACCTGAGGGTTCTCTTCCATTCGGATGGTCCTGGAATGCCTTCACTGGTGGTTTTGAGGCATCTTGATTAGATGTCCTCAGTGATCGTTTCAGTCTGAAGAGGATTTATTTCTTTTCAACAAGATCTCAATCCTCAGTGAATTAGCATTTAAGGGTAATAGTCAGACTGCTTTAAAAACAAACATGTGAATCATCTTCAAATGAAGCGGTATGCTGAGGTCCCCCGTCACTGAGGGAATAGTGAGTGTTTTGTTGTTTTAGAGGTGAGTGTTTATCTAGACTAGAGTTGAGCATGTCATACAAGTAAACCTTAATGTTTTTGGTGCAAGATATTCAAGTGGGTAGGAGTTACACTGTGTACATGAACAGAGGTTTTGTTTGTTTGTTTTTCTTCTTGGCTGAGACCAGGCACAATGGTGGAACCAGGGGGTGACCAAAGGTGGCCATGACCGACATAGTGACCTGCTTATTTTTCCAACTTATCCATCTCACGAGGTTTATATGGTGACAGCCATCTTGGATTTAGTTGTGGTGTCCTACGTTTTGAAAGAATTTTTTCTTACATCTAGATGAAGCCATGCACCAAAACGAAAGTCTGTGCCTCACTTATTTTTCCAAGTTATCGTGCTCACTTCATGCATGGATGGAGGGACGAATGGATGGATGGATGGAAAGTATTTCCAATTCCCCCTCTTTGCTCTTTGCTTCGCAACAGCGCCCAAATAACTTTGGGTAACATAGATGCTCTTCAGATTTGTCTTTAAACCATCTTTGGCTATCTGATTGCAACCAGATAGTGCTAAATTGCGGTCTGAATCGCCACAATATCTTTCACTCAGACTTCTTTTAGAGGTGCTCTGGACCTCTTTTATTTGCACAAGTTTACAGTATGAACACAGACTGTCCTGAACAGAGCTGACGTCCTACTGAACTGACCCTACATGAACAGCAGAGTCATGGGCAGATTCCTGTGGGTTAGGCGTATCCATCTAGGTTAGGGACATTGCCCCCTGTCACAGAGCGAAAAGGATGAATTGTAAGTACCCTCCATCCATCCATTCATCCATTCATGCATCCATCCATCCATCCATTTGTCTGTGCATGTTTCTTCTTTCTTCTTTCTTTCATGTGTGTGCATGATAACTTCACAAATAACTGAGATACCGCCTTCTTTTTTGGTGTGAGCCTACTTCAAGAGGTAAAAATGGTTCCTTTTGAAAAATAGTTTGCCATGTCAAAATCCAAGATGGCTGCCAACACATATTTATATGTAAACCTTGTGAGTTTTATAGACTTCCATTTTAGAATGTGGCTACATCTAGATGTGGAAAAAGTCCCTATCAAAAATGGGTTTCCATGTCAAAAATTAAAATGGCTGCAGTCAAATATTTTCAACAGTTAGTCTTGTGATCTTGACAACTTAAAAAATTAAGCAATGTGCCAAATATATTTGAAGGACCTGCCTGGAGTCAGTCTCCCCACCTTCACAGACATCTACACCTCTAGACGCAGGAAGAGGGCTACCTGCATCATGAAGGACCTCACTCACCCAGCGCACACACACTTTTTGCCCCGCTCCCCTCAGGAAGGAGGTTGAGGAGCATTAAGTGTAGAACCACTAGACTGAGGAACAGCTTCTACCCTGAGGATGTTAGACTCATGAATCTCTAACCAGAATAATCACTGTGAAAAAATCACATCATGTTGCTGCTGATTTAGTTCATGTTGCTGCTGATCTGTTTCAATGTTGCTGCTGATTTATTTCATGTTGCTGTGTTCATTCGTACCCATCTGCTCACGCAGACTCATGCTCTTGCTGCTGTTCGGTGTATTGTTTTTATAGTACTAGTGCTTAGCGTATTTTTAGTTAACGTTTTTCTTAGTTCATATACTAGATCTTTTTACTGTTTTTATTTTACGTTATAATTTTGTTGGATGTTACTGGGACCCTAGTGCAAACATTTTCGTTCTCACCACATGTACCACATGTGGTGAGAACGACAAACATTGAATCCTTGAATATTTTTGGTGTGTGGCTGCATCTAGGTGTAAGCAAGGTTAGTATCAAAATTTAGGTTGCAAGTCAAATCCCAAGATGGCCACCACCATATATGTATTTATTCATACAGTATGTATAAATAGAAAAGCATAGAAAGCATAGATTCCTAGAAATACAGG